GCTGTGGCCTCTCCTGTTGCGGAGCACAGGCTCTGGACGCGCAGGCCCAGCGACCATGGCCCACGGGCCCAGCCGCTCCACGGCATGTGGGATCCTCCCGCACAAGGGCACGAACCCGCGTCCCCTGCATCGGCAGGCGGATTCCCAACCACTGCGCCACCAGGGAAGCCCCTAACTGTATCTTTAAGGGGAATCAGAGAAACTGCAAAACAGGGTGCCATTTTAGGACTACCCACCTCGGGCAGAGCCCTTGCAAGTCAGAGCTTGGTTCAGCAGATTCTGGGAGGCCTCAGCCTTAGCTCCCATCCCTCCTCAGCCCTCCCATTCCTCGTTGCTGGGAACCACCCCGACCCCGGCACGGTTTGTGGACACAGAGAAATGAGGCTACAGAGGCTGCAGCCCACTCAGACTTTATTCAAAGATCGGGAAGTGAGGGAGCCCAGAGCGTCAGAGGGCCCCAGGCCAGGGTAGGAATCGCGGAGGCTCCAGCTTAACGGTATTTGGAGGTCAGCACGGTGCTCACACTGGCCAAGAACTTGTCCAGGGAGGCATGGACCGAGGGCGTGAAATCGGCGGGGAGGTGGAGAGCCAGGGTCACCAGCAGGCAGTGGCTCAGGAGCTGCGGAGAGAGGGGGTGTCAGGGGCCGCGGGGTTGGGGGAGTGCCGCCGTGCTCCACCTCTGGAACCCCACCGAACTCTCTGCCTTGCTAGCTCAGATCTCTCCCGGCCCGGCCCGCGAGCTCACCTTGAAGTTGACCGGGTCCACACGCAGCTTGTGGGCGTGCAGGTCGCTCAGCTCAGACAAGGCATCGGGCAGGTTGTCTATGTGGCCCACGGCTTTGGTCAGTGCGTCGGCCACCTTCTTGCCATGCCCCTTGATCTGGGCGGAGCCGTGTCCCAGGTCGAAGTGGGAGAAGTAGGTCTTGGTGCTGGGGAAGCTTATGAACATCCTGAGTGGAGAAGAGACGGGAGAGCCGGGCTTAGGCCGGTCGGCCCAGGACCAGGATGCGACGGGGCGACCGGCCCCAGTCCCAGCCGGGCAGGTGGGCTGCTCACCTCTCCAGGGCCTCTGCGCCATATTCTGCACTGTGGTTGCCAATCTTAGCCCAGGTGCCCTTGACGTTGGTCTTGTCGGCGGGAGACAGCACCATGGTGAGTTCTCTTTGAGTCTGGGTCAGGACCAGAAGCGTGCAGGGCTGGGAGTGCGCGAGCCTTTATGCCTGGGGTGCGAGGGGCACGCCCGATCGTGCCGTGCTCATTGGCTGGCACAGGGCCAGGAGGTGCCAGCCTGGAAAGCTCGGTCTCGAGAGGGTGCGGGAGTGCTGGAGTCCCAAGTGGGCCCCACCCAGTCCTGGGGCCCACTCTTTTCCCGCTCCTGTGGGTCTGGGAGCTCACACACGTTTCCGAGCCACGCAAACCCACTGGCACCCGAGTTTGTCCCCAGCTGGCGTAGCCTCGAGGTGTCTATTTGCCAGTCTTGGAGAGGAGCACAGTCTTTTCCGAAGTGAAACAAGCTACTTTCGCACTAAACTTTTCCCCAGGATGAAGAGCTGTAAACTGCCCATGTAAATAATGTGGGTGCAGGATGTAACGGGGGGAAGTCCTTTAAGCATCGTACCCACAATGGTGGGCAGGCCCTGGCACAGCGCGGGTTAGCAGGTGTTGTCATGGACAGCGGGGGCATTCTACTCAGCCAGGGTCAGGACTTGGCATCCAGCAGCCCCTCCCCACCCCCTGCTTTGGACTTGGTCCCCCACTTCCCAGCCCTGCACAGATGTGAGATTATCAGCCGGGGAACCATTCTCATTCAGAGTTTGGAGAGCTCCCAGGGTCAGGCTTCTGCATTTGCAAAGGCTCTAAATGGAGCACTAAGATCCCTGCACCAGTGCTGCAGAGGGAAGAGAGATTGACAGGGCACGTGTGTGTGTGTGTGTGTGTGTGTGTGTGTGTGTGTGTGTGTAAGGTGGGGCGCCATGGCCCAGGGACCCCAGAGACTGAGCGGGGCGGCTGGAGCTGGGGTGGGGTTTGGGTGGCCGTGGGCCTGCCAGGCACCCACCCTGCATTAGGATCTTCTAAATTATTTAAAAGACCCAGCGCGGTTGGGGATTTTCCGTCGGATGCATCAGGCTCAGCTCGCTTAGGGACAAGCCTAGTATCGCACCTCATGTTGACGTGACATGGGTTGTGGCCGTAGAGGTCTTCCTTCCTACCCCCACTCCCTGCCCCAGGAGATTCAGAGGAAGGGACTAACTTGGACCAGGGCAAGGCAACTACAGAGTGAGTGCTGGAAGTAGGGGAGAAGATGGGAAAGAACAGAGATGAGGGTCTGTGGAGCCCTGGGCCACGAAGTCTGTTTGACCTCAGGCCAGGAACTTGCCCCCTAGGCCTCGGTGCCCCGCCTATCTGTTAAAGAGGCGAAGATTCAGGCTTGCAGTTCCTGGAGTGAGGTAGGGACGGAGATGAATGAGTGTGTGAATGAGGACGTGCTTTGCGAATGGTATGGCACCGCACGGGTGCCAGATGTGAGGTGAAGCCGAAGACCCTTCCCCCATCCGAGCACGCGCTCGGCCCCACCACATTCCCCTGCCCCGGGAGGGCAACTGTTCTGTGCAAGCCTCTGGGTGTACACACCCGGCCCGGACCCCCAGACTGTCAGACCGGGAACTGTCCTCGTTCAGGGTTTGTTGAGTGCCCAAGGTCCCGTTCCTGTGCCCCTGGTTCCATTGTCAGCAAAGGTTGGGGATCCTGCCCTAAGATTCCGCGAGGCTCCCCTCAGGACCCAGAGCTTCTCTGCCCGCAACTGTGACGTCAGTCCGCCTGCTCCCCAAAGACCACACCTGCGCGGGGTCCAGACTTTTGAGGCTTGTTTATTGACATGCGCAGACCTAGACCCGGGGCACAGAACTCAGTGGTACTTCTCTGTCAGCACTACCGCCAGGCCCGTCAGGAACTTATCCCACACCACCTGCATCTCCACCGTGAACTCGCCCTGCAGGTGGGAGGCCAGCACCACCTGGAAACACTGGATCAGCAGCTGCGGGAGAAAAGGCCGGTGAGAAGAGCTCTGTCCTCGCCAATTCCTTGCCGAATGCCTCCCCACCTCGGCTGCGCGCGCGAACCCTGCTACGTCCCGGGGTGGCTCACTGGGAAGTTGGTGGGGTCCACGCGCAGCACATGTGCGTGCAGGTCGGCAAGCGGGCTCAGGGCCGCGCGCAGGTTGTCCATGTGCCGGACGGCCACTCCCACCGCCTCGAGCACACGTTGTCCGTGGCTCAGCAGCTGCACCTCGTCAGGGCGGTCGCCCAGGTGCTTAAAGTAGGTCTTGGTGCTGGGGTACACCGTGAAGAGCCTGCGGGAGCAAGGGTGAAGAGGGAGGGCGGTCCCTCCAGCGTCTGCGCCGCCCAGACCCCGCGAACCCCCGGTCAGGCCCGCCCCCCTCCCGACTCAGGCCCAACACCCCAGTCTCCGCCTCGCTACGATTCTGGAGACCCAGCCCCAACCCACCTGAGCAGAAGCTCCGCCCCGAAGGGCGCCTCGTGGCCGGCGATCAGGTCCCAGACCTGTGCTACTTGGGCGCGCTCTTGGGCGCTGAGCATGGCGTTGGCGTGGCGTGCTCTGGGTGCCGCGCCCGCAGTCCCGGCCTCCTTATAGCGGCCCTGCCCCCCGGCGCCCTGCCCGCCCTTATCTTCAGGAGCGCGGCGGGAACCTGGGGACCCTGGTTGCCAAGCCAGGTCCCTGTCACCGCAGAGGAACTGAATCACGCCGTGTGTGTGTGTGCCTTGGCTGCAGACTTTAGGGGGATCTACAATTATTCCACAGGGAGCTGATGGAGGGATTGGGAGAAAGAGTGCGGAGGGCCAGGAGGTGTCAAGGGTCCTCTCAGTGCCTGAGCTGTGACAACAAGCTTTGAGGAAAGGCCCCTGAGTCCCTACACATACACACAATACGCTGACTGAAGCGACAGACTGGGTGATTTGGGAGGCGGGAAAGAGGCACAAACTCAGGTCTGACCCGAGAAAACGGCGTGGGCGGTCCTGGGCTGTTCTGCTCCCTCCGGTCGCGACTCTGGGGTCCTCAGGACCAAGGACCGCCCCCAAAGCACCCTTGGAGTGACCTCCAGGCCGGGGGTGACACTAGGGTCGGCAGTGTTCCCGCGAAGCCTCCATTCCCTCCCTTCATTCCCCTCCGCTTCCCCCAATACTGAGACGCACAACCAGGCTCCCTCCATCCTCATCCATTTATTGGGGGTCCCGGGTGGAATCATAAGAGGGTGCAGGGGAAGGGGAGGGCTCGAAGCCTGCCCTGGGGGTCGGGAGGCATCCTCAGCGGTACTTCTCGGTCAGGACGCGGGACACGATGGACAGGAACTTGTCCCAGGCGGCGTGCGCGTCGGCCGTGAAGTCAGCGGGGAAGTGCGAGGCCACCGTGACCAGCAGGCAGTGGGACAGCAGCTGGGGCGACAGGATGGCTCAGGGCGGGCGCGGCGCGAGCGGCGGGCACCCAGCCCCGTCCCCGGACCCCGCCCCGCCCCGGGCCCCGCCCCGCGCCCACCTTGAAGTTGACCGGGTCCACGCGCAGCACGTAGGCGTGCAGCTCGCTCAGCTTGGAGAGGGCGCCCGCCACGTTGTCGATGCTCTTGACCGCGTCGCCCACGGCAGCCACCACCTTGGAGCCGTGCGCGCGCAGCTGCGCGGAGCCCGCGTGCAGGTCGAAGTGCGGGAAGTAGGTCTTGGTCTGGGGGTAGCTGGAGAAGAGCCTGCGGGCGGGGCGGGCCGAGCCGGGACACGTCACGTTTGCACGCGGGAGTTAAAACGTAAATATTAGGGCAAAAAGTGCAACTTGACCCCAATATGAACATTTTAAAGACACACAGGATCGGTATCGCGGACTTCAGCTGTTGCCCCGGCTCCAGTATGGCCCGGCCCACCTCACCCTCACCGCCCTGTCCTCCAGTCATTTGTTCCTTCCTTCACTCACTCATTCAATCAACAATGATTGTGGAGACCTGGGTGCTGGGCGCTGAGGGAGGGACACAATCGACCCTCGTCACCCTCCCCATGCCCCTCCTCTTCCTGCCCGCTGACCGCCGAGCACCCGCCTCACCGCTGCTCGTGCTCACTGAACCTGCATATGTGCCCTCCTCACTGACCCTCCTCACTGTCCCTCCTCACTGTCCCACCTCACCTGCCCCTCCTCACTGTCCCACCTCACTGTCCCCTCCTCACTGTCCCCTCCTCACTGTCCCTCCTCACTGTCCCTCCTCACTGTCCCCTCCTCACTGTCCCTCCTCACTGACCCTCCTCACTGTCCCTCCTCGCTGTCCCTCCTCACTGACCCTCCTCACTGTCCCTCCTCACTGTCCCTCCTCACTGACCCTCCGCACTGTCCCCTCCTCACTGACCCTCCTCACTGACGCTCCTCGCTGACCTATCCTCCCTGACCCCTCCTACCGACCCCCGTCCTCAGTGGCCCACACTGTCCCCTACCAGGCTCCACCCACGCCCACCTGGTGCTCACCTCTCCAGGGCCTCGGTGCCAATGATGTCTGCCTGCGTGGAGATCTTGCCCCACATGGACACGATGATGGTCCTCTCAGCCCTGGTCAGAGACATGGTGGCGGCTCAGTGGGAGCTGGGTGTGCTGAGAACTGGTGTCCGTGGTGCTCAGCCCCCAGGGTCCCCTTATATACGTGGAGCCAGGGTGGGGGCCAGGCTGTGGTCATCGCTGGGAGAGGGGAGGGGGCCATGGGGGGTGGGTCTCTTATCAGATCCAGTGACAGTGGGCAGTCAGGGCCCGGTGGGCCTGGTGGGGTGAGGGACTATCACTCCGGCTGCCCTTGCTGGGCCTTAGAGGGGGCGTTGGCCACAGCCTGACCAGACTCCAGGGGAGATAGGGGCCCAGGCAGCCCAGTGCTGCACTGCCCTTGTCCGTTTCAGAATCACAAAATGGGAGAAGCCAGAGGAGCAGTGCCCACACACCCTCCTCGGCTGGCCTGTGCCCCTGCTGCCTGCATTGCTCCTCGGTGGGTCCTGTGGCTGGACCCACATGCCAGCATCCCCCCCGCACCACCACCACCCCTGCCAGACACTGGCTCTAGGATCCCTGGGTTTCCTCCAAGAAAGCAATGGTTTTGCCAAGTGGGCCCTGAGGAGGGAGGTACTGACTGGTTCTGTTCCTGAAAAGCTGGAGGAGGTGGCCGGTCAATAAGAGAATCCTAATGTCATGTGCTTTTGGGGACTGCTCTGTTGCTCACCACATTATTATTTCAACATACAATACAGTTGATTTTTTTTAATGTACTGCTCTGTGAATTTTGACATGTGTGTAGATTTGTGTAACCCCACCACAGTCAGGACACACAACAGCTCTATCAGCCCCAAAACTCCCACAGGCTGCCCCTTTGCAGTCTCACCTTCCTCTGTCCCCTAAACCCAGACAACCACTATAATTCTGTCTTTTTCAAGAATATCCTATGAATGGAACCAGACGGCATGTCATCTTGTAGGACTGGCTTCTTTTACTTAGAATAATACCCTTGAGACCCATGCATGTTATTGCCGGTATCAGTAGTTGGCTTCCTTTTATTGCAGAGTAGCACTCCACGGTACTAACGTTCATTCATCCTCCCACTCAAACACGTGGGCTTTTTCCAGTTTGGGGCTATTACAAATAAAGCTGCTATGAACATTCTTGTGTAGGTCTTTATGTGAACATAAGTTTTTATTTCTCTGGGATGATACCATATCTAGGAGTAGGATTGTTGGTTCATGTGCTAAGTGTATGTTTAACTTTGTAAGAAACCACTAAACTGTTTTCCAGAGTGGCTTTACCGTTTTGCATTCCACTCAGCAATGAAGGGAAGTCCTAGTTTCCGTGCATCTTTGTCAGAATCTTTACATGTTAGTCGTTCTGACGGTTGTGACACAATATATCATTGTGGCTTCAATTTGTGTTTCCCTGATGGCCAGTGATGTGCAGCGTCTTTTAATGGGCTTATTTGCCATCCATGTATTCTCTTTTTAATTAATTAATTAATTAATTATTTTTTTGGCTGCGTTGGGTCTTTGCTGCTGTGCACAGGCTTTCTCTAGTTGTGGTGAGCAGGGGCTACTCTTCATTGCGGTGCACGGGCTTCTCATTGC